CGGTGTGGCCGCCCTGCCTCCCCAGCAGCGTGCTTGCTCGGGTTGCAGTCTGAATAGTAAGAAACTGGATAACGGTTGGACTCATCGATGGCGTCGCAGAAAATGTCTGACCGATAGGCCCCATCGTGCTCACTTCCATGCCGCCGATGTGTTGAACGCTGCGATAGGCAATGTTGTCGAACCTGCCCATCGCTCCCCAGAAAATGCGATCTCGGTTGCGGAGGTCGCAGGAAAAAAAACGCACGGTTGTAGTCGCACATCTGCATCACCTTGGTGCCGATGCTCGGATCGGCGATCCAAAGGCCCTCTTCTCACCCATACTTTGAAGCAAATGGCCGGCAGCCGCGCCTGCCAACGCACCGCCTCTTTTCCGGAGTCGGGAAAAACATTCCTGATGGGGAACTCGCGGTTCTCATCCTTCGTCCTTCCCGTGCCCTCATCCTCCTCCTCTTCCTCCTCCTGCACTCCGCCTCCTCCTCCTCCTTCTCCTCCTCCTCCTCCCTCCTCCCACTCTCTTTCGCCGCCTACCTCCTCCGCCTGCCGCCTCTCCTCTCGCGTCTGCGCGCCCTCCAAGCGAGATATAGCGGGTCCGCGAGCCGCAGCACTCCACCAGAGGACAGCATCCTCCTTCTTCCCACCTTCTCCGCCTTCTCCCCCTCCTCCTCCCTCCCCTCCCCTCCCCTCGTCTCCCCTCCTCTCCCCTCCTCTCCTCTCCCATCCTCTCCTCTCCCCTCCCCTCCTCCGTTTCCTCCCCTCCCCTCCTCCCTCCCCTCCCCTCCTCCCTCCCCTCCTCCCTCCCCTCCCCCCGCGTCCTCCTCCTCCGTACTCCTCCTCCGTCCTCCTTCCACCTCCTCCTCCGCCCCCCCCTTCCCCCAGCGCCTGGGAGGCCGCTTCCTCGAGGAGCTGGCGCCGGGTCGTCTCGAGCTCCTGCCAAAGGGTGCGGGGGGGGCACGTTGGCGCTCCCCCCCCCCGCGCCCGGCGTGCCGGCCACCAACCCAGAGCTCCTCGCGCTGTGAAGACAATGCGACGGGAGGTTCTCCGCCATGTTCGGCATCTGGGGGCCCTTACCCGGCCTCGGGACCGTCCGAACACGACTCGGGGTGGAGAACCGGCCCTGGGGAACGGGTTCAGACCTCGAGGGTCGACGTTATGAACACATCATGACGTCGGGGGGAGGGAGGAGGGAGGAGGGAGGAGGGAGGAGGGAGGAGGGAGGAGGGAGGAGTGCCGCTCCCCCCCCCCGTGGAGGAGTCCATCGCGTCGACCCGCGGGGCTCGAGGATCGAGGATCGAGCTCTGCTGTCTGGTTGGGGGGTCCTTCTCGTTCGTCGGGGGCCTCCGGAGGCTTCCACGGGGACCGTCCAGAGATCTCCCAGGACCTCTGCGGGACCTCTTGGACACTCCCCCCAGGGAAAGCCTTTCGCATCGCCGACCTCTCGAGAGGGGTGTCGAAATCGACGGGCGTCCCCAGGGCGTGAGGAGCACGGCTGCCCCAGCTGCGGCCAGTGTTCCCCGGCAGCTGGCAAAGGCGTGCAGCTGAGCGGCGGCCCCGTTGACGACGAAGGCGGGCTGAGAACAAATTCGGATGCAGAGTGCTTGCCAGCGTGAGCTCCGAGCAACGAGCGCTATGTGGTGCAACAGTTGTGACGTAAGCTATGTGGTGCAGCATGTGTGGTGCAACACGTGTGGTGCCAAATGTGCGGCGCCAAACGTGTGGTGCAAGCTACTTGGTGCAAGCTATGTGGTGCAAGCCACGACGTGCAAGATATGTGGTGTAATTCAGCTACCTGGTGTCAAATACCTTGTGTGAGCTACGCGGTGCAGCCCGTGCGGCACAAGCTATGTACACTGCAATCGATGTGGCCGCCCAGCGCAGGAGGCGCCCACAAGGCGACCACGGGCGGGCACCGGGCGAAAGCTCGGCACGTCCACCCAGCGCACGAGCGCACGAGGCACCCACGAGGCGCCCACGAGGCGCCCACGGGCGGGCACCAGGCGAATCCTCGGGGGTGCCACCCAGCTCACGAAACACCCACCAAGCGCCCACAAGGCGCCCCACCCGTTGGGCACCAGGCAGCACCCCGGCACACCCCTCCAATTCCTAGGGAAGCTGAGGAAGAACCCCAATGGGCAAACCAAATATTTAAAGCGACATATATATATATATATATGTATTCGCAACACATTGTTTGTGCTGCGGTTAGCAACCGATGATAGGCCCGCGAGCCGCCATGGCGCTACGTGTCGTAACGGCGCTGGCCGGGATGCCGCCTAGATAAAGACAAAAACCACGGTTTCCAGCAGAACGCATGTCCTGCGAACGTGGCCGAAACTCGGGGCGGAAATTCGGGCAGTTACTCGCAGGACCAAGAGGAGGAAGAGGAGGAGGAGAAGGAAGAGGAGGAGGAGGAGGAGGAGGAGGAGGAGGAGGAGGAGGAGGACGACGAAGGAGGAAGAGGGGAACAGGGGAAAACTGATACAACAATGGTCCCGAATCGCATCAACCAGCTCCGTGCCCTACGGGCGGCACTAAGACAAACCCTGTGGGCAAACACTGCTCGGGGAAACGCCGGGAATGTCTGAGGGCTGGCGGGATTGGAGGATGCATCGGGCACCGCGGCCGATGCCAAAGCGGCCCAGAGCGCTCCAGAAAGCTCGACGACTACTCATCTTGGACTGGCGCACAAGGAGGGTGACACGAGGGCGGCGGCCTTTTCCAAGAAGGCGGGGGCCTCATCCTGGGCATGCCTGACCGTCATCGCCGCCGCCGTCATCGCCGTCGCCGTCGCCGTCGGCGGCGTCGTCGCCGCAGTCGTCATCATCGTCGCCGTCGCCGTCGTCGTCGCAGCGGGTCCTCTGTCCAGGCTCTCTCCAGGGACTCGCGCGCGGCCGCGCGCCACGCCTGCCAGGAGGGCTGGCCACAGGGCGGGGCCCACGAAAGACAGCCGATTCGTTGCGGTTTCGGCCGTCGTCGCGGCCGCCACCGCCGCCGTCGTCGCCGTCATCATGTTCGTCGTCCGACGCGTGCTCGTCGTTGCCGCAGCCGCTGCCGTCGTATTCGTCGGCGTCTTCGCGCCCGCATTCGCATGCGTCAGCGTGTTCTGTTCGCCGGGAGGAGGAGGAGGCGGAGGAGGCGGAGGAGGAGGAGGCGGAGGAGGCGGAAGAGGAGGAGGAGGAGGAGGAGAAGGAGGAGGAGGAGGCGGGGCAGGAGGAGGGCCGCCAGCTTGCCAACGCCCGCGGAAAAGATCCGCCCCCAGAAGACTCGCGGGATCCACGCCCTGGCCGGCTTTCCGAGCTGCGCTCCACCGCCGCGACGATGACCTCCCTCGTCGTCGTCGTCGTCGTCGTCGTCGTCGTCGTCGTCGTCGTCGTCATCGCCGTCGCCGTCGCCGTCGCCGTCGCCGTCGCCGTCGCCGTCGCCGTCGCCGTCGCCGTCGCCGTCGCCGTCACCGTCGCCGTCGCCGTCGTCGTCGTCGTCGTCGTCGTCGTCGTCGTCGTCGTCGTCGTCGTCGTCGTCTTCCAGCCCCTCTGGCGGGCGCGGCGGGCCTCGGCCCACGCCGTCCACGCCTGCCGCGCCAGCCGCCCCAGCGCGCTCCTCCAGAGCAGGGGCTGGTCGTGGTCGTGGTCGTCGCCGTCGGCGTCGCCGTCGAAGCGGCAGAGCGTGGCGTCGGAGGGGGGGGGGGGCAGAGGGGGAGAAGGCACGGAGGGCGAGAAGGTCGGGGGACAGGCTCGCCGCCCCGCGATCCCCCCCCCCCCCCCCCCGAGGTTCGCAGCCACCATCGCAGGACACCTCTGAGGGGCATTCCCCCCCCCCCCGTCGTGCTCCGGCGCGCTGCCTCGTCCTCGTGCTCCGCGCGCCTCCTGGCTCTTCGGGAAATGGGGCCCTCGTCGGTGCGGCCAGGCGGCGCCTGGCAACACGAGTCGCAGCGGTCCCCGGGCGGGGTCCGAGGACCGTTTCCAGAAGAAGCTCTGGCTGAGTTGCTTTAGGTGGTTCGATCGCGGAAGAATTAACCCGGCGCAACCCCAATGGGGAGAACGCTTCCTAAGCGGCGTTGCTTAGAATTGCTTGGCATTGCATTGCTTTGCTTGGCATTGTATCTCATTGCTTGGCATTGCTTGGCATTGCGTGGTGCTACTAGACATTGCTTGACCATGCTTGGCATTGCTTGCCATTGCTTGGCTTTGCTTTGCATTGCTTAGCGTTGCTTGGCATTGCTTGGCGTTGCTTGGCATTGCTTGGCGCTGCTTGGCGCTGCTTGGCGCTGCTTGGCGCTGCTTGGCGCTGCGTGGCGTTACTTAGCATTGCGTTGCGTTGCATTACTTCGCAGTGCTTTGTATTGCTTGGCGTTGCTTGGTGCTGCTTGGCGCTGCTTGGCGTTGCTTGGCATTGCTTGGCGTTGCTTTGCACGGCTTGGCATTCCTTGGCGTTGCTTGGCATTGCTTGGCATTACTTGGCATTGCTTGGCGTTGCCTGGCATTGCTTGGCGTTGCTTTGCGTTGCTTGGCATTGATTGGCGTTGCTTTTCGCTTATCGTTGCTCGACATGGCCTGGCCTGCCTGGCACTGCTGGGAAACAAAATGAACAACCAAGGCGAGGAATCCGAGGAACCCAGGGAGCCCGAGGAACCTCCGAGGGACGGGCAACGTAAGAATATGAGGCACCGGGGGCGAGGAACCCGAGGAACTCGGGGAACCCGAGGAACCTCCGGGGAACAGGTACAGCAAGAATACGAGGCACCAGGGGCGAGGAGCCTGAGGAACCCGAGGAACCAGAAGAACCTCCGAGCAACGGGCAAAATAACAACAGGAGGCACCGACCTTTAATCAAATAAGATCCCCTGAGGCAAGCCTAATTGGGGAAACAGCCTCATAATACAAGCATCCCAGCAAGCGAAGCCGTGTAGTCAACGCGCGCAAGCGGGGAATCGACCAGGGCAGGGCTGTTCAGTAAACGCCCAGGGCCGTTCAGTCAACGCCAATGATGGGGGTCGGGGTGGCTTGTCTTCCCTTGATGATTGCTGCTCTTTCACCGGGAGGGCGGGAGGGGAAAGGGAAGAGCAGAGGAGGAGCGGAGGAGGAGGAGGGGGGATGAAGGGAGACACGAACAAAGGGAAAAAATGCACGGACTCTGGCTAAGGGGGGGATCGACTTCGCTGGGCAGAAGCTGAAGAACGGCAACTCGCAACATTCGAAACGTCCGGAAAAAAACACAAACAACACACTGTGGATGAGATGTGGCATGAATGTCTGTCGATGTACCCCCCGTTCTGGATTCCGTGATCGTGCACCTGGTTCTGCTTCACCGCGTCCGCTTCGAAATGAAACATCGCGTCTCGAGCAACCACCAGGCCGAGAAGGAGATCCCCCGCAACATTCAACACAACACAAACCTGATACACGTGACGCATTGCGGCCCCCTAACATCCGGCACTGACCTTCCGCATGGACAGCTTGTAGGCATACCCAAGCGGATCGCCATCAACACTGTTGCGAGTGCATGGTAAGATCTACCACCTGTCAGCAGAAACATACATTCAAGGTTGTTCAATCGTCCCATTGCAAATGCGCGTCCGGATAGCCCATCTCCCCGTCGGCTTCCTCAATCGAGACTTCTGGATTCATCAACAGTCCACACTATATTACCATACAATAATTCTGAAAAGGCCAACATCGGATGTGCCTCAATATCTGCTGGATGAGCTCCCGACTCGAAAATGAGATCAAGGCTCTCATTCGCAGCGATCGCGGCGTATCAGGTGTCCATCACAAACTCGAATAAGAAAGCCGTTGCTGATTTGGGGTATTCCACCGTGTGCTCCTCCACCAGAGGCCGTTCACCTCGTCCTTCCAACTGTGCGGCGGCGTAGTGGGAGCACGGGGCGTCCTGGTCGGTGGTGGCGTTGACGGCGCCACTGTCAACGTCACCGACGCATCGTCGTAGTTCAGGCTTCCCGTCCCCTTGCCAATCACCTATCAAATCGCGGTGCTCCTCTTGTTCATCCAGGCAGCACCAAACAAGGCGCTGTGACTGTCCCCGCACTTGAGCTTCGCACTGTATCTCCAACACTTGCTTCCGCACCGCCAACTCAAACCAGCACTTGCAAGCCTGCAAGCCGAGCTGGCCTCCACCTAAGACATAACTTGGGTGCGCCCGATTCTTCGCACGGCGCGTTAACAATTGTACACCACTTCTCTGGCAGCCCCTCAGATCCAGGTGCTGCGCATCTTGCACGTATACGGTCATGAACTTTTGCTCAGCGTATCGCGGCGGCGGCCACAGCGACACGTTATGCCCTGCAATATGATAGCGTGTCACTCTGCTTCGAGGAAAGGAAGGGGAGGCTTGGAACAGTTCGGGCCAACGATGTTTGGGAACTAAGATGTGCTCAGCGTGGCTTGGGGGGAAGGGGCGCAGGAGGGGGAGATGGAGTGGAGGGGATGGAGGCACCCGCGCGAACGGAGAGCCGACTCGGGTGAGCTGGTCCGAAGGCGCCTCGAAACGCATCCACAGCTGAATTCGAAGGCAAAGCCGGAGTGCACAGACATGGACAGGGCCCGCCCTGCGGAAGAAGGGAGGACGAGGCAGCAGGGAGGGCGGGGAGGGGAGGGTCGAAGGACGAGGGACAAGCAAAAACGTGCGCAGCGAGGCGCCTCTCGCAGCTCGGGAGGAGGCTGATCGGCTAACGAGTGGGGAGAGGTGGCCCAGAGGAAGGGCTCCGGTTTTTGTTGGTACAGTCGGCCCGTATCAGAAGGCTGCGCGCGATAGGGATGCCAGGGCCCTGGGCGCCCACTTCGAAGCTTTGCAAGCGGGGCGTGGCCAACGAAAGTGGCCAAGGAGGGGCTGAGGAGGCAAGGATGCGAGGGCACGCTTGGGACAGTTGCCCATCCCTGTGCTGTGCGGGCCGATTGCAAAGGGCCCTCCGGGAGGGCGGGGCCTCCGGGGAGGGGGGGGCCTCCGCTTGCAGCCCGCGCTCCTCCAGCGGTGCTCGACGAACGGGCTGCGTCGCCTGCGCCCAGCGAGGAGGCTGGCTCTCCGAGGTCGGGCGGGGCGGGGGTGCGCGAGGGGCGGCAGGAATCTAGCAGGGGATCGACTGCAGAGTTGACTTACCCAAACAACTTTTTTGTCCTCGTCGCACCCATGACAACTACGACGTCTTATATGCAGATACGACGAAGAGATCAACTCTGGGGTACATCGGTTCTGTCGTCGATCCGCTGCTCGAAGGATGAGGAGAGACGGGGACGAGCAGGCCTGCTTCGGGCGAGGACGCAGAGGAGCACGAGGGGAAGCGGGGCGAACAGGAAGAGACCAGTCATGGGGCTTCTGACCCGCCTCGCAGCCATCATACTGGTGAAGGCCCTCCTCCTCCTCCTCCTCCTCCTCTTCCTTATCCTCCTCCTCCTCCTCCTCCTCCTCCTCCCTATTCCTTCTACTTCTTCTTCTTCTTCTCATTCTCCTCCTCGTCATCCTCCGCCTACACCTCTTCCTCCTCCTTCTTGATCCCTCCGACTTCTACATCGCCCCTCCTTGTCCAGACGTGTCGTCAGGGCGGGGGCTGCGCTTCGCCTGGAACGTCCTCGCGATTTATGACCCCGAAGCTTGACATGCCCGAAAGCTACGCGCATGGAGCAGAGGTCCATTTCAGTCTGGGAATCTCGCCTTGGCGCCGCGCACACACGCCTTAAACAATGTATAGCCCCCCGCAACTGCGGATAAGAGTGAGGGGCAGCGGGGTCGTCGGCAGTCTGCGAAGCTCTGAAGAAGCCCGCCGCAGGCTTCGATTTATTCGTCAGAGCTAGTCAAAGCAACGTGGGCGGGGCGCGGGTGGGTCGCGGGTGGGTCGCAAGGTGGGTCGCCGGGTGGGCCGCCGGGTGGTCGCGGGGTGGGACGCGGGTGGGTCGCGGGCTGTCGCGGGCGAGGACGACGACGACGACAACGTGACGACGCAACGCATCAATGCAACAACAGTCCGCACCGCAGAACCCCGCTTCGGCCACGCAACCGAGGACAGCGAATGACCGCTCGGCCCCCTCACTCTGACGGGCGGCTGCACGGACGGCGGGGTGGGTCCTTTCCAGAAGTCGGGCCCTCGCCGTGGCGCCGCCCACGCTCGTCTCGGACAACATCCGGCAGCTACACGGCCGGGGGGATGGCACACTCGCGCAGCAAGGGGGGGGGCTCTCGCCCTGGCGCCGCGCGCATTCGTGTCAACAGCGTGCAGCTGTTGCCGCGGCAGGAGTGCGGCCGGTCTCCATGGCGGGGCGCGCTCTCGCCTCGAAAGCTTGCAGCAGTTACGCGAACGGAGGGCGGCTCGTTGTCAAGACGTGGCTCCCGCATCAGCAGCGCTCGAGTTGTATGCCCCTGCAAACTTTACGATATGGATGTGTGAACTTTGTGGGCCCTGGAAACGACAGGGCCGTTTTTTTACCGGTTCCGTTTTGCCGTTTTCTTGCCGGTTCCGACGCCGTTTTTTTACCGGTTCCGTCGCCGTTTTTTCACCGGTTCCGTCTCCGGTTCCAATCCCGGAGCCGTTTTTTTGCCGTTTTTGGTCGCCTTTTTTTGCCGTTTCCATTCAAGGGACACTTTCTCGGAAACGGTGAAAAAACGGCCCTGCCGTTTCCGGGGCCCACTCAGGCACTAAGGTGTGGAGGCTCCTTTCTAGAATGGGGTTATCCTTTGGGACATCTCAGACTTGTATGAGGCAGTGTTCGCAGTTGTGCCACGCTTACAGGGGTGGAGGGCAGACCCTCTCCCAAACAGACTTGCCAGTGGACGCTGCGGTCCTACCTCGTGGCTTCTCTAGAATCTGGAGAACCAGAAAGAGGGCTCACCACAAAAGGGAGAGAGCGCGTTTGACAATTCAAGTAGATCGACTACAGAATTGATGTGTACCCCAAACTTGTGTCCCCCGTTGAATCTACAACAACATCGAATCATGTCCCGTAGATCTACGATCATTCTACGCGCTTCTTGTATAATCGGCGGGGCAATCAATCTTGGACTAAATCATTTCTGTTCGAACAAAGGCGGGTTCGAAACATGTCTCGATACGTGGAAAACTGTCCACCCCCACCCTACCCCTCATCTCGGCGGTGGACAAGCCTCTCTTTAGCAAACCTCCCCTTCGGGAAAACGGCCTGGGACCGAAACCGACGGACCTGGACCCGCCAAAACGACGGCCGCGACGCCCTCGCGCCATCCGAAAACGACCAAGTCGCTCATCGACGCGTCAGGGTAGGAGGCCCGTCTCCACCCCCCGATCATCCCAAGCACCAGGCGAGCCCGACCCCGCCCAGTTTCTTCACACAGAGACCACCCGCCCCCCCACCTTTCAATGGCGCTCGTCGTCGTTTTCATCGTCGTCGTCGTCATCGTCGTAGTCGTCATCGTCGTCGTCGTCGTCAACGTTATCGTCCTCGTCGCTGTCGTCCTCGTCGTTTGCCGGCGACAGGGGGCGGGTTGGACGGCTTCCGGACGTCCGACTCCCCGAAGTCTAGGACGGTTTTTTCTTGGGAGGCTGGTTTGCAACCTCCTCAAACTCGAGGAACCACAGACTTGAGTAAGATCATGTGGGGGAGGCGAGCACCCCGACACGCGCTCAAACTTCGATCAGTGGCAAATTTCACCCCCGAACCTCGACGGCGACGAAGACGACGATGATGCGGACGAGGGGGCCTGATCCAGGCCGCGCCGTCCTCGGAGCGCTCGCGCCATCTGCGGAAGCACGCCGCCGCCAGCCTCGGAGTGTCCCGGGCGGGGCAGGGGGCGGGTCCTTTCACAGGGGATAGGTCGACCCCTGTCTGCAGGCTTCGTGGGGGTTCGAATGGACCAGCAATTTGGGCCCAACGCTGGGATATAGAGGCCTCGGAAAAATAGCGAACACTCATGCCACATTCATCTGTCAACGCCTCCCCCTGCCCCCAAAGCTCAAAGTTGGCGGTGGGTCTGATGAGTTGCACCTCGACCGCAATCTCCCCCGCGCGTGCCGACTTTGAGTTTGAGGGGGAGGGGGAGTGTTCAGTAATTGCCTCCCTCTACCGTACGATGGGGGGGGCGTTCGAATAGCCCAAAGAGGGTGTGTCCCAGGGCTTCCCTCCTTTGCTGACCGGCTTCCTTTCTCGTCTACAAAGTCGAGGGTCTGGGGGAGACAAGAATCGCCTGCGACCCTCTGCGCCACGCAACATCGGGGGGACGTCCAGTCATCGTGCTACCACATGGGATGATGGGCCAATTTCTACCACCACTACCATAGGCAGGAAGGGGAAGAAGTGAGGATGGGGAGGTCCTCCTCCTCCTACTCCTCCTCCTCCTCCGCCCCGTTCTCCTACTCCTACTCTTCCTCCTCCTCCTCCTCCTCCTCTTCATCCTCCTTCTCCTCCCTCTGCTCCCTCTCCTACCGATGGTAGTGGTGGTGGAAAATCAACCCATCATGGAACGCTGACTAAGGAACGATGGGGCTTGTGTGGCCACCGCGAGACTCGGCCACGAACAGGTGTCGGGACTCGAGGAGCGGCCCAGTGTCCAGATCCCCTCCTCCGAGCTCCTGAGCCCCAGAACGGTCCTCACCTCGGCGCCCTGACTTTCCAGACTCGAACTTGTGGACCTCGAAGCCGCCCGACGGGGCCCTCGGAACAACGACGGGACCGAATCTGAAGCTCGGCGCGATCTCCCGCCGTAGACACCTCAAGAACACGAGCCGCCATAATGCATGCCGGGGCCGTCAAAAGCGGCGGCAACCCCGAGCTCCGGCAATCTGCAACTAGTCTGACGTTTCACACGGGGAACGCTCGGGGGGACCGACCCACGGTGGGGCAGACATCGAGCTGGAATAGTCGATACATCGCCGACAGATCGGTGATGTGCACCTCATTTCAAATCCGCACGTTCCTCGGCGGGGTCGGCCCTCGCCCCCCTGCCGGCGATGAATGGGCGATTGGGGGTCGATGCGTCGCCCCCTGAGCCGACCCCCGTCTGATGCTGCCCGTCGCTCCTGCACGTCTCCTCGCGGCGTCGCCTCGGTGCCCCAGGGTGCCTCCCCGGCGGTCCCCGGGGCGCCTCGGCCCGAGACCGCTTCTGCCGACACCGGCTGCCTTCCGCTTGCACCGCGCTCGGCCTGCTCGCGCCCCCCGCCCCGCCCCCCCCGGCCGTGTCGCAGCCCGGATCAACGGCCCGGACCGCCGGGGCGGCCGTGGCCCCGGCCCCTCGAGGGTGGGCCGCGGGGTGCGGCCTCCGAACTTCGGGCAGGAGGCAAACGGCCGGGCTCTGTCGGAGGCCGGCGGGTTCTGCTCAGGAAAGGATGGAGACAAGAAGACTCCGGCTCGAAGGATTGCAAAAAGGATTGCAAACAAACCAAGGATTGCAAAAACAAAACCCTGGTTTTTTTTGTTTTGCAATCCTGGGTTTTTGTTGCAATCCTTCGTTTTTTTTTGCAATCCTTCGTGCAAGCTGGTTTTCAATGTTAGCGACGGCACCCTCAGCTCGCGCCGCGGCGCCAGCATCGAAAGTTCGAAGGTCCCGAGGAGAACTGAAGCGCCCCGAACACCTCCAGGGCCACATGGGGTGGCCACCGAACTCTCGGCCCGAGGAACGCCTTTTTTGCGAGTTGCACTCCGTGACCGGATCCAGCCACAGTGGACTGCGTGGGGACGATCAGATCGGACGCGGCCGACATGGAGCGAGGCTGGGAGCGAGGAGCACCTGCACCCCCCAGCGAGCTGACCATGGACGGGAATCCCCGCCAGGAGCAGCAGCAGCACCTGGCACGGTGGGGCCGCTCGCGGCAGAGCCCTCGGCAGGCGCGGTGGCATCGCCAGTGGGGCCTCTGCGGCGTTTGGCTTGGAGGCGGGCGCGCAGCTTCCTGGTGCCCCCACGAAGTTTGAAGATCTGCCCGGCGTTGGCCACGAGGCCTTCTGCACCTCGGTCTGGGCGCTGGCGGCGAGCTCCTTCTTGGTGCGGGATCGCTCGTCCTTGCCACTTGCTTCCAGATTCAAAGAGCGCTCGTTCACAATCTGGATCGCGCCCCTCCGTCAACGAGGGTCTAGAGGTAGATGGCCGAAGAAGAGGGTGCCAAGACCTCCTCCAGCGGCGGCGCCGACAGCTGCTTGGCGCATGCCACCTCCTCTCCTACTCCTGCTGAACGAAATGCGCCGCCTTGACCGCAGCGCCCTCGGCTCACGGCGAGTGTGTATGATCGATCCTGGCCAATTTTGCGCTGTGTAGATCGACATGCTGCTGACGTAACCTGACCTTTGGATCGAAGTTCTCCGCATGGCGCTGTAATGGCGGGCCAGTAGCGTTCGCGAGCGCATTGGGGAACCCTCGCCATAGGGACGCCATGGCGGCCTTCGTGCAGTCCTCGTTGGCTGAAATCTTGACTTCCCTGAACGGATGATTGAGGAAGCCTGTGGCCCAGGGGGCGGCACCGGGTGGCCAGCCGTCTGCAGCTTCCCTTGGCGTGGGAAGGCCTGCAACTGGTGTGCCTCGAACCATCGGCTGCGGCGTAGGAGGACCAGCGATCTCGCCGTCGGGGAAGGTGGGAGCTGCTTCCAGGGCACGAAAAGAGGCTCCCGTCGACTCATCCATCTCAAGATCATCCATCTCAAGATCATCGGCAGCATCACGAGCACGCCTATCACGATCGTTCCTCCGAGCAGACCTCTGCGGCTGTGGCGTTCTGGGCGGGGTACGTGAGCAGGAGCCCTCGGTTGAGGGGGAGGGGGTGGCTGCCAGCTTTGACACGGTCTCGATATTTGTTTCGCTAGTTTGCGTTATCCTTTTCCATATTTGAGTTGTGATAATCATGCTTCCCACGCCGAGGAGCTCCCCAACTTGATTTCAGAACCGACGCCCAAGGCGTTGGGCAGTGCAGGAGCAGGCAACGCCTCCGCCCACCCACACCTCTCAGCGCGCGGCAGCCCGCGGGCCCGCAACGGCTTGGCAGCGCGTCGCGAAGGTCGAGTAGGAGAGCTGCGAATAAGGAGGAGGAGGAGGAGGAGGAGGAGGAGGAGGAGGAGAAGGAGGAGGAGGAGGGGGAGGAGGAAGAGGAGGAGGAGGAGGAGGGAGGAGGGAAAAGGAGGCGGAAAAGGAAACGGAGGAGGAGGACGAGGAGGAGGAGGAGGAGGAGGAGGACGACGACGAGGACGACGAGGACGACGACGAGAATGCCGAGGACAAGGAGGCGGCCGAGGCGCGAGCTCCAGCACCCGCCGCTCCCCGGCGCGGCCCGCCGCGCCGCGGAGGCGCTGCAGGAGCAGCTCGGGGCCACGCCGACGGGAACTCTCCTCGCGGGTCGGACGAGAAGGGGGAGGGGGCTTCGCAATACTGCCTAAGGCGACTGCCACCTCCTTCTGCTCCTACTCCTCTTCCTCCTCCTCCTCCCGCTCCTCCTCCTTCCTCCTCCCTCCTTCCTCTCCTCCTCCTCCCCTCTCCTCCTCCTCCTTCTCCCCTCCTCCCCTCCTCCTCCTCCTCCTCCTCCTCCTCCTCCTCTCCTCTCCTCCTCCTCCTCCTCCTCCTCCTCCTCCTCCTCCTCCTTCTCCTCGTCCTCGTCCTCGTCCTCGTCCTCGTCCTCGTCCTCGTCCTCGTCCTCCTCCTCCCTCCTGCCTCCTCGAAGTAAAGCTCACAAGCTATTAAGTATGACGAGTTCGCACGGAACGTCCCAGAGCATTTCGGATCTGCGGCGCAGGCGGGAGGCCTCTACAATCCAGACGTGTGGAACAACTGATGAACGGACGTAGTCCAGCCATCAAGCCTTTCGCCGGAGGGCGCGCGAGCAGGACGGAGCATGAGGTAATGCGCGCCAAAGGGCAGCACGATTTATATCGTGCTCCACTCCTTCACCGCTGCCTCCCACGAAGCCTCTGCTCTGTCTTCCCGACAGCAGAATCGGGGAGACGTAAGACTCAGGTACGGGGGACTCGGGTTGGCCTGACGGGGCCATCCAAAAAATGACGAAACCTAATCAGAAACTTGACGCGGGCTCCCGCTGCAGACATCCCACGAAAACGGGACCGTCCAAACCCAGGACGCGCTCGTCAAAAAATGTCGGCAAACCCGAGCTCAGGCTTACTCGAGCTCCGGCTGAGAATCTGGAAGGCTATCTTAGATGAGTGCTCCAAATCCCTTCTTAATTGTCCCCCGGGTCCGGTTTTTTAAGGCGCCTTTTTTGTAACTGGGGGGGTCCGGTTTATTAGGGCGCTTTCTTTGGATTGGAGCTTAGGGGGTCCGGTACATTAAGGCGCCCCGTCGAAGAGGGGGGTCCGGAATATTAGGTCGCATTTGAAGGGGGGTCCGGTTTCTTTTGGGGGGGTCGATATTAGCAAAGGATTTGGCATACGTTTCCCCGACAGAATGCAGGCCAGGCCTCCCGGGAACCGGCCGCGGACAGGCCGCTGCGCACGCGGCCGTGCTGCTCCCGCCAGGTTGCCTCGGGCGCGCCCTTCGCCTGCGCGGCCCTTGCAGCTTCGGGACGGCTGCTTCTTTCCTCGCCGCCCTCGGCACCGTGGGGGGCGCTCGCCCAGCCAGCCCCTGGGGGCCTTCAGGAACGGCTTACGATTAGTTGGCGGTGCGCACAAGGGGGGTGGAGGGGGGGGGAGGACTTCTGAGAAGGAGGCTGCTTCTTAGAAGGCGCCAGCCTTACAGCTATAGATAAGGCCCGCGCCTTCCAAGAAGCAGGGGTGCTTCTAAGAAGCCCTCCCCCCTCCAACCTCCCCCCTCTGCGCGTGGCTGGATCAGGTCGGGCATGTCTTCCTACAGGCGGGTTTTGGACGAAAGATGGAAACGAATCCACAAATAACCCAACATAGCAGAAAATAATGGAAAGATGGTCCCTGAACTATTTTTTGACTGTGCTTGAATGTTCGCCCCCATACTATTTTTTGGGCTGTGCTTGAGTGTTCCTCCTCTAGAGGGGCAGGCCTGACTTAAAACCTAAGATGGAGCTCTCCAGGCACCGGGGAAGGGTCGGGTCCTCCAGGGGCACCGGGCGGCGAGGGGTCCGTCCCGGCAGTCGGCGGGCGGCTTCCCGAGACCACGGCGGCCCCCCCCCGGCCATTTCCCGTCCGCGCTTTCTTGTGGGGCCCCTGCATGGGAGGCCTCCTCCTCCCCCTCCTCCCCCTCCTCCCCTCCTCCTCCTCCCCTCCTCCCCCTCCTCCCCTCCTCCTCCTCCTCCTCCTCTCCCCCTCCTCCCTCCTCCCCCTCCTCCTCCTCTCCTCCTCCTCCTCTCCTCCTCCTCCTCCTCCTCCCCTCCTCCTCCTCCCTCCTCCTCCTCCTCTCCTCCTCCTCCTCCTCCTCCTCCTCCTCTCCTCCTCCTCCCCCCTCCTCCTCCTCCTCCTCCTCCTCCTCCTCCTCCTCCTCCTCCCTCCTCCTCCTCCTCCTCCTCCTCCTCCTCCTCCCCTCCCAGGATAGAGGCCTTCCAGATGGGGCCTGAGTAGATGGGGTCGGAGAATGGCACCGCGTCACCGATGCATCGGCGATGCAGCGGCGATGCATCGGTGATGCGTCGGCGACGTCGGGGATGCATCGGCGACGTCGGTGTGGGGGGGGAAACACTGTGGCTCCACATGGAGCCGCGACGGCGATGCATCGGCGGTGCGGCGCGATCCTCCGACCCATTCCGGGACGACCCCATCTGAGAGGCCTGGACTGCGGGGGCTGCTTCCCCTTCGCCACGGCTGGCTCCGCCTCGAAGAACGGGGCAGGGTGGCCCCAGCAGGGGTCCAGGGGGCGGATTTCGAGCGGACTTGGGCGGGGGGCGCAAGCAGAGGGGGAGGATCGGTGAGCCTCGAATCGGTGGAGATCGCATTCGCGTCGGCATGTGCGTCGGACCGGGCCGAGTCGGCACGGAGTCGAGATCGAATCAGATCGGTTGCGCCAGGATGCACCGCAGCGCCATGCAAGCATCGGACCGCATCGCAACGCCGGGAAATCGGAATCGAATCGGATTCGGCCTGCCGGAAGCGATAAGCGAATCGGATCGATCGGAGCGGGATGGAGACCCTGCCGGGGGGGGGGTCAGCGAATTAGCTCACGCAATTGCATTCCCCCGCGCATCCCGACCCCTGAGGCACCGGTGCATCGAGGAAAGAGCGCCCGGCGGTGGAGCCGCAATCCGCAGATTTCGTCGTACACCCTGCGAAATGCTTAAGAAATCATGGGTTAAGAAATTCATAGTCTCAGAACTTGAATAAACACCCAACGTTTCCATTGAAACCTTAGGATTTACATTGAAACATTAAGAATAATCGAGACTCTGGTCGAAAACTTAAGTTTTCTTAAGCATCGCCTAAAGTGTATACCCCCGCTTTCCCTGCTGTCGGAACTCTTGGACAGCGTGTCGCCGCGGCGGCCCCAGCGACACGCCACGCCGTGCGAGCGCACGGCGTGTCGCTCCGCTCCGTGGGGCGGGAGGCTCGGAACGTGGACGCGGGGGAACGGATGTGAAGGGGCCCTGGGACACACAAATAAATATGCACACAATTCACAGGCTTCCCCATATTTTCCCATATTTTCTAGGTTGTCGTCTTCGCCCCCACTTCCCATATCTTCCCATATTTTCCGGGAGAATCGACGATCCATTGTGTCTGTGTTTTTGTTTCCCCTCCTGACTTTCATCCGACCTGGTCCTTGCGGGCCGCCCGCGACGCGGCCGCGGCAGCCGACAGCCGCCGCAGGGCCCAGCCGGAGGACCTCTGGAGGGGAACTGTACGTCGCCGGCAGGTCGGCGATTGGAGCCATCACCGGTGGATCGGCGATCGGCGACGTGTCCCCCATGGAGGAGCCCCATGCCCTCGGCAGGCTGGGGCACCCGGGCCCCGACCGGCGAGGAATCGGCGACCACTGGGCGTCCCACAGCGGTGCGGTGGCGGACCGTGCTGCGGCCTCGAGGTCCAGGGAGACCTCACCGCACGGTCCGTCACACCTGGGTGCGGGGACCCGGGGAGCCCCAACCGCCCGAGACATCCTCGGAGAGCGGCCCGAGGCCTACAACCGTGCGGTCGCCCCGAATCCGCACCAGCTCACCACACAGCGACTTCCCAGGCATCCAGTGCTTTTTGTTCCAATGCGCGGCCCCTGAAGTCTCGACCCTCTATCCTCGGGGGGTAGTTAGCCTTGCACCATGGATTCATACTTGCCTGCCCCACGGGGCCCGACGTGGCGCCCCCTGGAAGCCGACATCGAGCAGAACGGCCCGCATCTGCATTTGATGGGAGCGTTTCCCATCACCACCACCACCATAAGTTGGAGGGGGGAAGGAGGAGGTGGACGAAGAGGAGGAGGAGGAGGAGGAGGAGGAGGAGGAGGAGGAGGAGAAGGAGGAGGAGGAGGAGGAGGAGGAGGAGGAGGAGGAGGAGGACCTCCTCCCACTGGGGCCCATCAGCATTTGACTCGGAGATCTGGGCTGGGTGTCGGAGCTCCCCGCCCTTCGGGGCCGGCCACCCCCGCTGCTGCCCGGCGACGCTCACCTCAAGGGGGAGGGCGCGAGGGGGCCGGCCCTCTGGGAGGGCAGATGGGGCTTCTAAGCCGGGCTCGAGCTAGACCGTGTCTTTCGTTGCCGTTTTGCTTTCATTTGCTCTCGTTCTGTCTTCGTTCCACCCTTGCTGCGAAACGAAGCCAAAACGAAGACGGCCCGCGAAATCGCCAAAACACCGTTCAGCTCGAGCCCTGCTTCTAAGAAGGCATGGCGGCTTCTTTTGGAAGACCCCCCCTGCCTACTTCGAAGGCCGCCCTCCTCGCGCCCTCCCCCTTGAAGTGAGCGCCGCCAGCCTAGGGGAATAAGCAGCAATAATTAGCATAACAACTAGGAGATCCGCGCGGATCTTTTGGATCCGCGCCGTGAGCGCCACGGGGCGGAGCCCGAGGCGCCGCCGGAGGGCCCCAGCGCAGATCCGAGGCATCTGCGAGGCGGGGAGAAATCCATATCCACCGCCTGGGAACCGACGCCCTGGTGCCCCAGCGGGCGGTGGATATGGATATACTTTGGCCCCTGGGGGCCCGAATATATCCATATCCACCGCCTGCGAGGTCTCCGAAAATTGCTCCTCCAGGCGGTGGTCATGTATACACTCCCGCCTCGGAGGATCGGCGTGTGGGCCTCCGAGATATCATGCTTGTGCCCGTGCCTGCTCCTCGGCCACACCGCTGCCCCCCCCCCCACGAGACCTCGAGGAGATGCGCCCCAGGGCCCTGACGAGCGCGCCGGCGCCGGCGCTGCGGCAGCGGAGGTCGAGGTGGAAGTACCCCTCGCGGCCGCAGTCCACGGTCGCGGCCGCCCAGTCGAGCACCTGGTTGGGGGGCTCGACGCCGCCCCCCCCAAGCATCCCCGAGCCGGCGTTTCATCCCGACTCGTTTCGTTGGCGGCCCCTGGGCCTGGGCGAGCGTTCTCTTATTTGGCGTCTCGACATTGGGCGGGAGGGGGGGGGAGGGAGGGAGAGGGGGGGGTGTCTGGCTCCGGACCTCTGCTGAATGCGCCTGTTTGCAGCAGTGCGTCCTATGGGGGCGGCTCCACTTGCGCGGGACAGGCGGCAAAAGCAGCCAAGATCTACTCCATGGCGGAAGGAGGGAGAGGGGGCGTGCGAGGGCCCGCGCCGATCGGCAAACCAATGAATAAGAAAACGCGAACCCCACGGGCGAGCGCAGCCAGAGGCCCGGGCCCCTGCCTCACTCCTGCTCCTGGCCTCTCCCGCGCAGCACTCCAGGGGGGCCGCGAGGGCGCAAGACTGCTGAGAACCTGTGTGTTTTGTCTGGCTCCAGTGCGTCGGCGGTCCTCGTCGCTTGGACGGCCGAGGGGCCACAGAGCCCAGAGAGGGAACTCGGTGTACAGACCCTCCACTCCTCCTCCTCCTCCTCCTCCTCCTCCTCCTCCTCCTCCTCCTCCTCCCTCCTCCTCCTCCTCCTCCTCCTCCTCCTCCTCTCCTCCTCCTCCTCCTCCTCCTCCTCCTCCTCCTCCTCCTCCTCCTCCTCCTCCTCCTCCTCCTCCTCCTCCTCCTCCTCCTCCTCTTGGCGGCGCGCACAAGAGGGTGGAGGGAGAGGGGAGGGCTTCTCAGAAGGCTGCTCCTGAGAAGGCGCCGGCCCTGCATTGACAGATGAGGCCCGTGCCCTCTAAGAACCGGGGATGCTTCGAAGCAACCCTCCCCCCTCACCCACACCCTCCTCTGCACGTGGCCGAGCAATACAAGGTCCTGAAAGTCCCGGGCCGGCTTTTCATCCTGACTCGTTTTTTGACAATCCCATGGCGAGCGCAGCCAGAGGCTGAAAGCTACCGACAAAGCCTACGTATGTTTTGTTCTGATTCAGTGCGTCGGAGGTCTGGGTCGCTTGGTCGGCCGAGGAGCCACAGGAACTCGGCGAGTGAACTCGGTGTACAGTCCCTCCACTCCTCCTCCTCCTCCTCCTCCTCCTCCTCCTCCTCCTGCTCCTCCTCCTCCTCCCTCCTCCTCCTCCTCCTCCTCCCCTCTCCTGGCCTCCTCCTCCTCCTCTCCTCCTCCTCCTCCCTCCTCCTCCTCCTCCTCCCTCCTGCTCCTCTCCTCCCTCCTCCTCTCTCCTCCTCTCCCTCCTTTCCTTTTACTCCTCCTTTTCCTCGTCCTCCTCCTCCTCCTCCTCCTCCTCCTCCTTCTCCTCCTCCTCCTCCTCTTCATCCTCCTCCTCCTCCTCCTCCTCCTCCTCTCCTCCTCCTCCTCCTCCTCCTCCTCCTCCCTCCTCCTCCTCCTCCCTCCCCTTCCCTCCCTCCTCCCTCCTCCCTCCCTCCCTCCCTCCCTCCCTCCCTCCCTCCCTCCACCCCTCCCCACCTTCCCTCCCTCCGTGCCCCCCAACCCCCACATGCGTCGGTTTGCACAGTTTTCGGCCTCTGGGGGTCCTCGCCGGGCCCTGGGACTGTCAAATCAGGACTCAGGAGTATAACCAGGCCCTGGGGAAGAGGTCGGGACTTCCAGGGGCCCCAGAAGAACAGGTCGCCGAGCAGTCCGAACGGACGGTCAACGGTAATTTTTGGCCTCCAGGTGCCCTCGCCAGCCTCTGGACCGCTGAAACGACCCAGGATGACAAGCGGGTCCCAGGGAAGGGGCAGGATCAGTCGGCACCGAATGGGAAAATCGGATCGAATCGCCTTGTGCGTCGGATCGAGCCGCATCGGCACGGAGACGGCATCGAATCGGATCGGCCGCGCAAGGATGCACCGCATCGCCCATGCAGGCATCGGGACGAATCGGATCGTCGGGATATCGGGATCGAATCGGATCGGGCCCAGAGGGATCCCAATCCTTCGGAAATCTACAGGATCACCACGTCGACGGTTCCTCGCCGCTATAGGATCGTCAAACAACGACTCACAAATAAAAGACGGCCCCAGGGAGCGGGTCGGGACTTCTGAGGATCGATCCCGTGCTTTCAAGGATCAAGACGTCGGGTCCCGGGTATATGCCACGTCGCTTGGTCGGCCAACGAGCCACGGAGCTTTGGCAAAGTAACTCGGTGTACGAACGCTCCAGCGCCCCGCAGCTCGAGAAGATGGGGCGCATCCACACCGAGCTTGTTGGCCGACCAAACGAGGTGGTGAATATCTGTGCGGGGGCTAGATCGAGTCATGCCTGCTGGTGACTCGCTACGCTCCCTGGCCTCACCCCGCGCTGCTGGCACAGGAGGCTGACGTGGAGACGAGACGGAGAGAACGCGACGGCGGGGGGGAGGGAGAGGGGCAAGGGCATGGAGAGAGGGCACCTGGGCATTGAGTGTGCATGTGCGCAGTCGGCCCGTGTCATAACGATGCGTGATGAGGATGCCAGGGCCTTGGACGCCAATTTCGAAGCTTGTCGAGCGGGGCGCGGCCAACGAACGTGGCCAAGGATGGGCCGAGGAGGCAGGGATGCAAGGGTACCCTTGGGAAGGCTGCCCATCGTTCTTCTGCAGGCTGGCTGTATCTGTAGGTAGGTCTGGGGGCTCGAGCCCCTCCCCCCACACCTGGGCGACGTGGCCCCGGAGCTGGCCGCGGGCGCCCCCGCCCTCGAGCCAGCACCGCTCGGGGGCGTCCAGCTCGCTGGCCGCGCCCCGCGCGCCGCCGCCGGCGCCGAGCACGGGGTAGTCGCGCGCGTCGCGCCGCAGTCGCGCGGGGTGCACGCGCGCCACGAGCTCGGCGAGCTCGTCGAGGGCTCGCAGGGCGGCCTCCTGCGCCTCCGGCGCCGAGGGGCGCGGCGCAGCCGCCTGCTCCTCGAGGAGCCCCTCCGGGCCGCCCGCGTCGCGCCAGCTCCAGGAGTCCTCCGCCTGCAGGGTGCGGCTCCCCGCCAGGCAGCCGCGCAGCGACGCCAGCTCCCGCCGCAGCCGGACGTTCTCCTGCTTCGGCTGCGCGCAAGGAGTGGCAGGGGGCACGGGTGGCCTTTGGCGCGCGGCTTCGGAGGGCCGCGGGGAGGCAGAATCCAAGCGCGAAGGCCTACAGAGGCTTTCCGGGTGGCGCGCAGGCAGCCCCCCACAGGCAGTCCCAGCTGGCCTCCGCAGGCCCCTCGAGCAGCCCAGGGCGGCCTCAACACCCTAACCCAGGGGCGCCGCCGGAGGCGGCGCCAGAGTGTTGAGACCGCCCTGGCCTGCTCGGGGGGGCTGTTGAGGCCCGCCGGGACTGCCTGCAGGGGCCTGTCTGTGTGCAACCCGGGGCCTGACCGTGCCAGTCACTGCCAGGGGGGCCGCAGTGAGTCGCGCACCAAAGATCACTCCGGCGAAGGGGCACTCCGGTGCGCGTGGCCGCTCTCCTCCATGCAGCCCCACGCCACGGCGACGCCCGGGGAGCTGGCCGTGACGGGCTCCGCGGCCACGTGGGGCCGCGCCCTTCCCGAGGAGCCGCGCGCCAGGGGCTCCGCGGGCACGCCGCTGGGCACGGTGGCGCCGCAGTCTAGGCGGAGGACGCTGGTGGGCGGCGGAGGCGCCACCCTTCCTGCTGGCGGCGCGCCCAGGAGGGGGGGAGGCAGAGGGGGCGGGCCTTCTCAGAAGGAAGGCCTCCGCCTCCTGGGATGCTAGCCGAGCCTTCTCCGAAGCCACGGAGGGCTTCCAGGAAGGTCGGAGGGCTTCTCAGAAGCCCCGCCGCCTTCTGAGAAGGCCTGCCCCCTCTCACATTCTCCCTTCGGCGCGCAGGCGACTGGCTCTCAAACACTTCCTTGGCCCTCCGGCGGCCGTTCGGGACGATCCAGCTCCCCCCCCGACCGCTCCCGGCGAGGCGCAGCTTCTGGAACAGGTCCCGAGGCTGGACAAGAAAAAACCGCCGAGGACCGACGACAACGCCCGCAAAGCTCGAGCCTCGAACCCGAAACTCCCAATCGTCCCCCCGTCGGCCCGCCGCCGCTCCTGGGGAGCCGCGCGCCCAGGGCTCCGCGGGGGCCCCGCCGTCCAGGTGCGCGAGGCCGGCGGGCAGCGACCTGTCCGCCAGGTCCGTCGCGCTGAGCGACCTCGCCACGGCCCAGGGCCTCGTGGAGGGCGAGGACAGCATCGCGCCGCGCTCGGTGTGCTCAGAGACGGGGCCCTACGGGGTGGCGTCCCTCAGTAGTTCTGGGGGTACCTATAGTCCGGGGGAGGGGTACCTGTAGTCCGGGCGGGGGAGGCGCGCGGGGGTACCTGTAGTCCGGGGGGGGGGGGCGCGCATGTGATTCGTCAAAGCACGAGTGGTTCCACGCGCACGGGCTTCGGTGTGCGGGTGTCTGCGCGCGCGGAACTCATCCCTCAGCAAAGCCACCCGTGGCTCCCTCCCTTCCTATCCTTAGGACCCCGTCCCTCAGGGCCCCCTCGTCGCACCACCGACGCGCGTCGGCTCACCCCATGCGTGCGGCACTGGCCGGCCCGAGGGGGGGGGGGGGGGGCACCCGGTAGCCGAACGGCTGCGGTCGGCACGCGGTGCGGCAGCGAGCTGCTCGGCACGCTGCGGAAGGCCTGGGGGGGGCATCGGCGTCGGCGGAGTCGCTGCCACCAGGCGGCACGTCTCTAGGACCCTCGTCAAAATTAACCTCAAAAATGTCTTACGTGGCTGAGCTATGTGTGGGGAGATACTGGACAGAGTACCAGTGACTGCGAGGAACTTGTATGCGCCGCCCCTCCAATGTCGGTCATCATCGAACTTCCGAGTCGTTTCCGGTCAGACCACTTTTGCCCTGGCCTCGACATTGAAGGGGCGTCTATCGACATTGAAGTGCGCGCCGACATCGTAGGGGCGTGGTCGCCATTTTTGAGGTTAATTTTGACGAGGGTGGTAGGACCGGTTGCCAGAGGGGAAGCTTCTTCCACCCCATGCCGCTCCCCTTCCCTAACGCATGACCCACAAGAGTCACTTCATCATCCTGACCTCCTGTGACACCACGCTGCGGCGAAGGTGGCATGGTCCTGAAGAAAACAAGTCCTGGACACATTCGGGGGGCTTCCCTCGGGACCACCTGTTCGTCGTGAGCCGTTTTCTGACACTCCGGGGGCCTCGGAAGGGCCCCTGCAAGTCGAAGGACGGAGAAAAATCACATGACCCATGTTTCGCCATAGCGGCCGTTACTACTTCTCATGCTCTTCCCCGAACCGGCGTCGCGGGAACGAGTGCGTCGCCCGCACGGGCTGGCAGGGCCCCCTGATCGCGAAGAGTCAGACCCCTGGGCAGCGGGGGAGAAGAATTGCGTGCACCCATGTACGACAAAGGGCAACGGATCGGGATGACCACCTCGAACATTCCCTGACCTCTGGCGTCACGAATACTGTAGGGGCCAGTCCACAAGAAACCTCCCACAAGAAACCCAACCCTGAGACCCCAGGACGTCCATTGATTTCTGGTGTGGGAACGTCGCGCTTTCCATGGCAAAACCATCGAAACCCAAGAAACCCAGGGCACCCTGGAGGCAAGCAGGGTGTTTCTTGGCAAGGGCCTCCACTATATTTTGTAAAGCAGGATGCGGTCAGGAACGTCTGCTTAGCGTGTCGCGACGGCGGCCCATGTGACATGCTGCGCCCTGCAAGCTGACAGCGCGTTGCTTCGCTTCGCGGGACGGGAGGCTGGACAAAAACTCGGGACGTTGACGCCTGGGGGCTGGGACGTGCTTTTAGCGTGTCGCGCCGACGAGTGGTGGGCCAGGACCGGCGGAGCGACACGCTGAGCAACCGTTCCTGACCGTACTCCCCCCAACTGCTCCGGCTGCTCCTACAGCCGGAACGAGGTGTAAGATCGAGGTCGGTTCGGGGAGGACGCCCTAGTGCTCTTCGTGTTTCTTGGATGCTCTGCTGCATCCCTGGGAGGATCAGATACCCATCGGACGCTCTGCTTGCTTTGGCCGACGCAGGGTCTCACGTTCTTGGAGTATGTTCCGCTGGCCTCGGTCCGACAGTGCATCGAACTTCCCCTCGGCCTCACCTAGAGGCCTCCTAGATGGGGTCCGAACAGATGGGGTCGAAGGGACGCGCCGCATCGCCAATGCATCGCCAATGCATTGCCGATGCATCAGCGATGCATCGGCGACGTCGGCGATGCATCGGCGCGTCGACGTGAAGCAAATCGAGCACCACATCGAGCCGCATCGGCGATGCATCGGCGATGCGGCGCGATCCTCCGACCCCATCTACTCCGACCCCATCTAGGAGGCCTAGATCACCTCCCCCGAAACCGCCGGCATGCCATGGGCGGCGACGGCACGGTGGAGAGGGGCAGCCGAGGCCGCCAACGGGCTCTGCGCGGCACCTGCTCGGCCTCGTCGAAGTCCCACTGCAGGTAGGCGGTGCCCTCCCCTCCCCCGTGTTCTCCCTTTCTGAAGGGGGGCCCAGGGACACACATACACACACATTCACACATTCACACATTCACACATTCACACAAAAACAAACACAGACACACACACACACACACGGACACACACACACACACACAGACACACACACAGACACACACACACACACACACACGCACACACACAAATGACTAGACACAACAATCCCAAGATTCCCCTATCCTTCCCATATTTGTTTCTGGATTGTCGTCTGCACCCCCACTTCCCATACATTTTCCCACATTTTCCTGGGAGCCGACGATCAATATTTGTGTCCGTGTGTTTTTGTCCCTCCTGACCTTCGCCTGCGCCCCCCCGCCACCCCGGGCTACAGTCGGACCCGGACCAGGAGAGCAGCCTTTTCAAGAACGCAAGGCTCTCCGCTGGCCAACACACACAGAGCATCCGAGGGTACCCTTAGGTCGGGGATGTCCCCCTACAGGCGGATTCTGGTCGAAACATAAAATAATAATCCAAAACGTACGCCAAAAATGCTCAACAATAGTCAGACAATCGTCTCCATCTCATTTTTTAGCTATTTTTGGATATTCCTCCTGTAGAGTGACGTGCCCGACTTAAGGGTACCCGCCCCAGGATGCAGAAGAGCACCCAACAGACACGAAGAACGTTAGGGGCGAGAAGGCTTGCATCAGCGCGTGCGTTCAGGTCAACAGCAGCTGCCATTTCAGAACATGAATGGTGGCAAGAGCGTGCAGGAATCGTATGAGGCGCTCAGGTGGCTTCAACCACCGAAAACTCCTCCTGGTCTTCCTTCGCACGCGTGACGCGACCCGCCGCATACTCCGTACTTGCGTAACTTCTGCATGGCATTCCAGAGGCACTTGGGCGACGTCGAAGTTGCAATGAAGTCCCATCGCAGGTCAGCTCACATCCCAGAACAGACTCATGCTAAGTAGTTATCCTCAATGAAACAATCTGTTCACATCTGTTCGTCCTTCCCTATTTGTCTGCCTCCTCCTCTTTCTCCTCGGCTCCATCTCCTCCCTCTGGTATTGCTGCTGTCCCTCCTCCGTCGCGAGGACGCGTGGGAATCCGTGAGACGGAGCTGTCCTCGACCGCTCGGCGCGATTCCCTCTCCTATCGTTGACGCTATCTCCGTCCACGGCTGGTTGCCGACTCCGCATTTCAGGTATGACACATGGAGCGGTTCGACGCCATGCTGATATGATGTCACCATTGCGCGGCACCTGCCTCGTGGTGGCACACGCATGCTCCTCAGAGATGCCATGGTACGATGAGTTGTCCCTGATACTCCACGCCATGATCCCAAGCGCGTGATGAAGATAGACAAACGCAGCGATGGGGTGATCGCCCCGTCTGCAGCGGCCACGCGCAGATTCGCACGGTCTTCAGGGAACGGAGCGCAGCCACCACACATCATCATGATAATGAACAAACAAAACGAAATACATGGCCGGTTCCCAAAACCCTGAGCCCCCAAATGCTACCATCTCTTGGGGGCGCATCTCTTACTTCCACAAACTTCCGCCAGCCTTCCGCCGGCTTCGCCAGCGGAGCCTCCCTCGTTTTGCTTGCGCCGGCTTCCGCCACCCTTCCGCCGAGGGACATGATTCCTACTCCTTCGACCCTCGGAGGCAAGGCCCGCTCTGGAGCGCGCCACACGCACGCAGAGACGATGCATGAATTGCGCACTTCACCGTCACCCGAATAATCCGAATGGAAGTCCCGTCGCTCCTGCGACTCGTTGATCACGCGGGTCGCCTCGACCACATCCAAGACCTGCGCCCACCCGCACAAGCCGTGCAGACACAGAAGAAAGTGGCGACACTCCTGCCGCACTGCCGTGGCACGTGTTGTTCCCTCTGCAGCCGCGATCAATGCTGGTACACATGGGGTGTGCCGAAGTGTGCGCAGGCTTCTCCTCCTCCTCCTTCTCCTCCTTATCCTCTTCCTCATCATCAGAATCCTCCTGCTCCTCCTCCCCTCCTGCTTCCCCTTCTCCTCCATCTTCCTCCCATCCTGCTCCTCCTCCTCCTCCTCCTCCTCCTCTCCATCATCATCATCATCCTCCTCCTCCATCTTCCTCCCATCCTGCTCCTCCTCCTCCTCCTATTCCTCCTCCTCCATCATCCATCATCATCATCATCATCATCATCATCATCATCATCATCATCATCATCATCATCATCATCATCATCATCATCATCATCATCATCATCATTATGCTCCCCGCTTACCTCCGCCCATACCGCCATGAACGTGTTGGCTGCTTGCGATCCCAGCAACATCCCCTACCCCAAATCATTCGTGCACTGCTACTTGCGTTGGGGGCCACAACAAATCATCACCATGCGGGAGCCCCTCGTCGGAGGAATCATTTTCCCGAGTCTCGAAGCGGACCTCCAGAGGTCGAGCATGCGGTAAAGACTTACTGCTGCGATCCGCCAGAAAGAGGGCCCCCCTGACCCGTCTGGGAGAGCGCTCCGGCCACAATCTCCAGGCAGGTCCAACCGTGGCCGCGAAAGCGCCCCGGGACATCCAGAGAGGACGGGACGCGTCAGCCTCCTCTTTCTCAACCGCTGCAACCGCCCCAATCCGACTTCCCTCCCTCCATGCTCTTTCTATATTTCCGTCGCCGTCCTCCTCGTATCTGTCTTTCTTCCCTCCCTCCTCCCCCACCCTCTCATTCTCACGCCTCCTGTTCCGGCTCCTCCAGTGCAAACTGGAGCACCGTGGCGCCAGCCTTCGACGCCCCAGCGCGCAGGCACGAGCGACTCTACCCCCACACTCCCAGAAGCCCCGATTGGGTAACACATGCTCTGCCTGGCACTCCCAGGTATGATTCACCGAGCAGGCTTCTTCATGGCTCTTCGGTCCATGCTTCGCGGGGGCACCTGCAAGCCTACTTCTTCCTCTTCTTCCCCGAAATATCTTTGGCCAGTCATGTAAACAAACATTCACTTCCGTTTTCTCCTGCCCCTCCTCGTGTTCCTCCTTCTCCTCCTCCTCCTCCTCCCCCTCCTCCAATACTTTGCCTTATAAACAACTTCTCCCTGTCGCTGCCCGAGGCTGGTCGAAA